AATAGCAGAGATATTTCAGCAGTTTCAACTCCTACTTCCACGACGGCTGCTATAGGTGCTTCAAACACCGTCAACAACGACAGCACTTGGAGTGCTACTAGCCCCCCACCATCATCTGTTGCTCCAGCTACAAGCGATTCAACCACATTAACGCCGATCAAGTCATCAAATTCGAAACCGTACGCATTCAAGAAATCATTCAAGAGCAAGTGGTTCACCATCTCCAATAAGAAAACTTCGTACGAGAAGAGCAAACAGCAACAGCAGCACTCAGGATCGTCGGCCACCTCTTCATCGCCATCTTCATCCTCGTCATCGAGAGCGCCTTCGACGCCAGCCGCATCAACCACATCGAGCGACAGTCCCGAATTTGAATGCAAGAGTGGAATCAGATCGAAGTTTAGAAAGAGTAAAAAACTTTCACAGTTCAAGAAGTTTTCCTTCTACAATTCGTCATCTCGCCTTAGAAATACATCCAAGGTTCTCAAACTGAAATCTCGACGTAGGTTCAGGAAGGGAGGAAATGATCTGGATGGAGAAATAATGATGCAATCGCTGATGGAAGATTGGTGTAATAAGTTGGTGCTAAACTCAGGATGCAGTGATGTACGTGGCGGATCTGCTGCTGCTGTTGCTGTTGTTGAGAGGTCTGCTTCTTCTGCTTGCAGTACTCCTGCTGCTACTACTTGCAGGAAAAATCTGATGAATCAGCAAGATTACAACAACAACAACAATGTCAACAACAATAATTACAATACAAATAACAATAATCTGCTTCAGCACTATCCGACAAGATTTCAAACAGCAACGGCTGCCTCTGCGACCAACTCATGCAACGACATCGGTGATAGAAACCACCATCACCAACAACAACAACAGCAGCAGCATCAACAACAACTGCCCATCACTAACATCACTTCAAACACAACACCGCCCAACAACTTCAACAGCAACAATAACATCATATACGACTACAACAATTTCAACTTGCAACAGCAACATCAACAACAACAACAACAGTCGCAGCCAACTGAACTTTCGTGCATAATCTCGGCGGCCATTAAAAGCTCCTTCGAGCCGGGCGATTTGGTGGCCAAAGATAACGACACCGACGTCTACGATGACATCAAGTGTAGTAACATCAGTGCAGTTAATGTCGTTGATGTCGAAAGTGACATCAATAACTACAACATGTGCAGCTACAACAGCAACAACAACAACATCATTATCAACAACAACAACACCAATAATAATAGTAATAATAAAAATATCGGAGATGGTAATAGTTATAGTTGTTATGCATTTCCTGCAAGCCAAATAAAACACCTTCCAGGCAATGATAATCTCAATTTTTCATATTATCCCAACAGCGACAACAACAACAACAACAATAAAGGTAAATATAATATGGCCAGTATTAATAATACAGCCGCCCAAAGCAGCCGCAATGTCATCAACAGCACGGATGGTAACAACAACTACATCAAAAATAACTTCAATAGCACTAATAACGTTAACAAAAACATCAATAATAATAATAATAACAACAACAATAGTGATAACATTAACAATAACAGTAGCATCAACAATATGGCCGCACATCAACAGCATCAACAACAATACTCCATGTTCAATCCGTTCTACACCATAGACGCCATGTACAAACAGCAGCAACAGATCATGCAACAGCAGCAAGTGCAGCAGCAGCAACAAAAACACCCAAAAC